GGATCCAAACCGGTGAACCTGGGACCGCCGAAGTGGTCCCACTAGACCACTAGGCTGGCCCCATTGGTTTTTATCTTTCTTAAGTAAATATCTAAGAGTTGGAATCGTTTGTCCATGGAGTAGGTATATATTTATCTTTCCTGGAAACTTCTAAACAGTTTTCAAAAATTTCCAAATGTGCCGTTTTACACGGCCACCACACTGTAGGAGGGCTCGACATGTTCCTCATCTTCACCACTTCTTAGCATTGTCAATCTTTTTAATTTTAGCCATTCTGGTGACATGATATCTCATTATGGTTTTAATTTACATTTCCCTCATGATTAGTGAGGTGAGCACATTTTTTTACATACCTTTCAGCTTCATATATACTTTCTTTTGTAAAGTGTGAAGTGAATATATTCTCCCTGCCTCTGATTTGCCTTTTTTATTTTTTATTTTTTGGCTGAGGAAGCTTGGCCCTGGGCTGTGCCAATCTTCCTCTATTTTGTATGTGGGCCACCACCACAGCATGACCACCAAGGAGTGGTGTAGGTCAGCACCTGGGAACTGAACCCAGGCCACCGAAGCAGAGTGCACCAAACTAACCACTAAGCCACAGGGCTGGCCCTCTGACTTGCCTTTTTATTTTCTTAATAGTATTTTCTGAAGAGCAGACATTTTTTCAGTTTTAATGAAGTCTAATTTGTAATTTTTTCTTCTGTTGTTAATGACTTTGTATCCTATCTAAGAAATTATTGCCTACTTCAAAATCACAAACATACTGTTCTATTTTTTATTTAGATGTTTTAAAGTTGTAACATTTATATTTAGGTCTATGCTCCATATGAAATTAATTTTTGCATTAGATGTGAGGTAGTGGACAAGATTATTTTTCCTATGAATATGCAGTTGTTCCAGCACAGTTTGTCAAATAGACTATCTTCTTCTTCTTTGAGTTATCCTAAAAACTTAGCGGAAAATTTGTTGATTGTGTATGTGTGGATCTATTTCTGGACTCGCTATTTTTTTCTATTACCTATGTCATCTTGATTTTTATTATAGTTTTATAGTAATTCTTGAAATCAAGTAACAAAATTTGTCAATTTTTTCCTAATTTTCAGAATCATTTTAGCTTTGCATTTAAATACAAATTTTAGAATCAGCTTGATAATTTCTATTAAAAACAGCATGCTGAGAGTTCGATTCAGACTGCATTGAATTTATACTTTAAGTTGGGTAAAATTATTCATATTAAGAATAATGAATCTATTGTTTTAGTCATTTCAATTGATTTATCTTTAAATTTATTTATTAGTTTTCAGAATACAAGTCTTGCACATCTTTTGTCAATTTTATTCCTAAATATTTTGGCTTATCTTGACATTGCTGTACATAGCAGCATCTTAAAATTTTATTTTCCTATTATTTGGAAAGTATTGCTATTATATAGGAATGCTGCTAAATTTTATATAGTCACCTGGAATCCTGCAATGCTGCTATATTCTGTCCCTCATTAATTCTAGGTTTTGCATTTTATTGGTAGTTCCCTTAGGATTTTCTGTGTAATAATTTTGTTCCCTGTGAATAATGACAGCTTTCCATTTTTGTTTCAAATCTTTATGCCATTTCTTCCTTTTGTTGCATTGCTTGCACCTTTAGGAAAAATGAAATAAAAGTGATGGAATGGATTTCCTTATGACATTCTAATTAGATGGAAGCATTAAATGTATCACCATTAAGTGAAAATTTTTATGTGGACATCTCTTTATTAGATTCAGAATATTCCTAGTTTTCTGAGAGATTTTATCATGAATGACTGTCGAATTCTGTCAAATGATTTCTTCTTCATCTATTGAGATAATCATGTAATTTCCTTCTTTATTCTATTAATGTGATAAATTTAAATTAGCTTTTGAATGTTGAACCAACCTTGCCATATTGGATACGTCATATTTAAACATTATATATTATCATTTTTATATATTGTATTCTATTTCTTAATATTTCGGAGTTAGGATTATGCTGAACTCATAAACCAAATTAGGATGTTTTCCTCCTTCTTATTTTATGAAATATACTGTGTGACATTGGTATAATTCTTCCTTAAATGTTTGCAAGTACTCACTTTTGAAGTGTTTGAAGTTCTCTTCTCATCTGGGCCTGGAGAGATTTTTGTTTGTTTGTTTTTTGTTATTATTTTAATCTTAACTTTACTGAGGCTTGCCTTGTTTCCCAACATATGGTCTATTCTTGAGAATGTTCCATGTACACTTGAGAAGAATGTGTATTTTGCTGTTTTTGGATGGAGTGTTCTATATATACCTATTAAGTCCATCTGGTCTAGCTTTTCATTTAATTCCACTGTTTCCTTGTTGATTTTCTGTCTGGATGATCTATCCCTTGATGTGAGTGGAGTGTTGAGGTCCCCTACTATTATTGTGTCTTATTTTAGGTTTAATAGTTGCTTTATGTACTTTGGTGCTCCTGTGTTGGGTGCATAGATTATTTATAAGTGTTATTTCTTCTTGATGGAGTGTCCCTTTGATCATTATATACTGCCCCTCTTTGTCTCTCTTTACCTGTCTTATCTTGAAGTCTACTTTGTCTGACATAAGTATTAAAACACCTGCTTTCTTTTGTTTGCCATTAGCTTGAGATATCATCTTCCATCCCTTCACTCTGAGCCTGTGTTTGTCATTGGAGTTGAGATGTGCTTTCTGGAGGCCGCATGTTGTTGGGTCTTGTTCTTTGATCCATCTTGCCACTGTGTGTTTTTATTGAGAATTCAATCCATTTACATTTAGGGTGAATATCGAGATATGAAGACTTAAAACTTCCATTTTATCTCTCATTTTCCAGTTTTCCTGCATTTCTTTTGTTTCTTGTCCTGTGTAGTTTGGCCTACCAATAGAGTTATGTAGTTTTTTATGTTGTGTTTCTTTGTTTTCTCCTTATTTAAAATTTGTGTATCTGTTCTGCTTTTTTGTTTACTGGTTACCCTGAGGTTTGTATTCAAGATCTTATGGGTAAGATAGTCCCTTTTCTTATGGCCTCCAATTTCCTTAGACTAAATCGATTCAGTCCCTCTCCTCTTCCCCTCATAAGTTGTTTTTCTCACATCTTATTCCATCTTGTGTTATGAGTGTGTGGTTAAAATGACAAGATTATCTGTTTTTGGTGTTTTCCTTCCCTTTGTCTTTAATGCTATACTTGAGTATTGGTTATCCTGCTCTGATTCTGTCTACCTATTTAACACCTTACTCCATGCTTTGTAACCCCTTTCTTCCTTTTTATTTTTTTTTTTTCAGGTATGAGGACCTTCTTGAGGGTTTCTTGTAGGGGGTGCCTTGTGGCTACAAACTCCCTTAGCTTATGCTTGTCTGGGAAAGTTTTTAAGGTTTTTGTCTTTCAATGATTTGAACATCATTTCAGTCTCTCCTAGCTTGTGAGGTTTCTGCAGAGAAATCTGCTGAAAGCCTGATGGAGCTCCTTTGTAGGTTATTTTCTTCTGCCTTGCTGACCTTAATGTTCTTTCTTTGTCATTCAGTTTTGCCAGTTTAATTACTATATGCCTTGCAGTAGGTCTTTTTACATTGACATGTTTAGGAGATCTGGCAGCCTCTTCCACGTGGATTTCCTTCCCTAGGTGTGGGAAGTTCTCTGCTATTATTTCTTTGAACAAGCTTTCTACTCCAATCTCCTTTTTGAATACCTATAATTATTATGTTGTATTTCCTAATTGATTCAGGTATTTCTCAGAGATTTCTTCATTTCTTTTTAGTCTTAGTTCTCTCTCCTCCTCTGTCTGGAGCATTTCAACATGTCTACCTTCGATTATGCTGACATGCTCCTCTATGATGTCCACTCGAGTGTTCAGGGAATCCATATTTTGTTTTATTTCTTCCATTGTGTCTTTCATCGCTAATATTTCTGATTGATTCTTCTTTATAGTTTCAGTCCCTTTTGTGAAGTAGTTTGAACTCATTGAATTGTTTCTCTACATTCTCTTTTACCTCGTTGAGTTTTTTGATCATAGCTGTTTTGAATTCCTTGTCATTTAGGTTACATATTTCTGTGTTCTCAGCACTAATTTCTGGGTACTTGTCATTTTCTCTCTCGTCTGGAGATCTAATATAATGTTTGATATTGCTAGATGGAGTGGCTCTGTTTTTTCGCATCCTGATGTTATTAGGTCACAGTTACTACCTATCATCACTGGGTGGGGGTCAAGAGCCATGTATTCTGAGCCCTGTGCCTTCAGCCAAAATCCCAGGGGCTGGAGCGGGGCCTCAGTCGGTGGGGGAGGGGTGCTTTCTCCTTGGAGTTTTCTCCCTCTGCTCTCTTTATCTGCTCTCCTTGGTTGTTGGCTTGATAAGGTCACCCCTCCCCCACCCCCAGTGAAAGCTTTTGCCCTGGTAGAGGGCTTCCCTCTAGGCTGCAAGGGCACTTGGGATTTCTTGATGTTCCCGAGAACAAACATCCCCTCCCTTGTTCCTTTCCTCTCAGAGGCCTCCTGCCGTCCTGATCACAGTCTTTACGGAAGGGAGCCAAGTTATCTCTTACCCTGTTCCACCTCCTCTGAGGGGCCTCCAGCCTCTCTGCTATCCATCGTATGGCTACGTGGGTCTCTTTGACGTTTTTTTGTGTTGTATTTGGATGTCCTCTGTTGGGTTATGAAGGTTTTTCTCCTTGTATATTGGAGGGGAAATGTTTCCGGGAAACTCACTCCCCTATGAGGCTGATGTCACTCTGTTTGTTTGTTTCTTTGTTTTCGGGGGCAGGGGGAATGAGAAGCTTTTAAATTTTACATTTAGCATTTACTACTTTAATAGATATAGAGTGCTATGGACTGAATGTTTGTATCCTCTGAAATTCATATGTTGAAACCCTAACCCCCATTGTGGCTGAGGGATTTGGAGACAGGGCTTCTAAGAAATAATTAAGGTTAAATGAAGTCATAATGGTGGGGCCCGGATCTGACAGTATTAGTGTCCTTATAAGAGGTGCCAGAGTGCTGAGGAAGGGCCATGTGGTCCACAGCAGGAAGACAGACATCTGCAAGCCAAGAAGAGAGCTCTCACCAGAAAATGAAATGAGCCCACACCTTGGTCATGGACTTCTACCCTCTAGAACTGTGAGAAAATAAATTCTATTGTTTAATCCACCCAGTCTGTGGGATTTTGTTATGATAGCCTGAGCTGGCTAATACATAACACTATGCAAATTTTCTATTTCTTTCTGTTGACTATTTGAAAGGTTGTACTTTTCAAGTAAATTGTAAATTTTACCTAGGCTGTTGAATTTATTGGCAAAACTTATTCAGAATATCTCATTATTTTCTTTTTAATTTCTATAGGATCTGTAGCAATTCCTCCTGTTTCATGATATTGATAATTTGCATTTCTTTTTTCTTTGATCTAGCAGCAATTTATCAATTTTATTCATTTTTTTCATAAAGCTACTTATCATTTTGATGATTTTCTTTATTATCTGTTTTCTACTTCATTGATTCTGATTTTTTCATTTTATTTCTTTAGTTTCTACTTTCTTAAGGTATATTTTGTTTCTTTCATTATTTTCTTAAAGTGAAAATTTAGATTATAAATTTTTAACCTTCACCCTTTTCTCTTTTAAGTATTTAAAGATATAAATTTTCTCTAAAAGCCATTTTAGCTACATCCCACAAATTTTGATGTGTTGTATTTTCATTATCATATATTTAGAATCATTTCTAATTTGTTTTGTGATATTTTCTGTCACCCCTGGGTTATTTAGAAGTCTATTGTTTAACTTTCACATATTTTAGGCTTTCGTATCTGTTTTATTGTTTCTAACTTCTAACGTAATTTCATCGATGTCAGAAAATATTTTCTAAGATTTCAACATTTTAAATTTATTGGAATTTACTTTATAGTTCAGCATATGGTGTATCTTATTGAATACTTTCTGTATAATTGAAAAGAATATGTGTTCATAGTTGTTGGTGTAATTGTTCCATAAGCATCAATTAGGTCAAGTTATTGATCATGTTGTTCAAATCTTCTATATTTGCAAAGATTTTTATTCACTTATTCTATAAATTACTTATGATAGAGAGGTGTTAAAATCCTCAAACATGATTCTGTATTTATCTAATTTTTCCTTTATGTCTATCAATTTTTGCTTAATTTATTTTAAAACTCTGTGATTAAATGAGTATACATTTGGGATTGTTTTGTCTGTGTAATGACTTGATCTTTTTTCCATCATGAAGTGATCCAATTTATTTCTAGTAGTAATATTCCTTGTGACTAAGTCCCTTCTACTTGATGTTAATATAGCTACATGAGCTTTCTCAAGCTTACTGTTTACCTGGTATATATTTTTCCCATTTTTTACTTTAAATCTATCCATGATTTTATATTTAAAGTGTATCTCTTGTAATATATCCTTGGGTCTTATTTTTATCCATTGTGAAATGTCTAATTTTCACATGGGATGTGTTTCACCCATTTAATTTACTTATATTTATGTTTGGGTTTAAGTCTGACATTTTACTACTGGTTTCCTGTTTGTTCCTTCTATTTTTTGTTGTTGTTGTTGTTTCTTTGTTTCTCTTTTCTTGAATTCTTTTCTGGTTAATACAGAAATTTTCAGTATTCCATTCTACCTCTTCTATTGGCTTTTTAGATGTACGTCTTTGTAGTATTATTTTAGTGGTTGCCCTAAAGATTACAGTATGCATTCTTAATTTATCACATTCTATCTTGAAAGAGCTTTATATAAGTCTGTGTGTAATGAAATCATTTTATAGAGGTATAATTTCAGTTACACTGCCTCCTACCTTTTGTGCTATTTTTATTACACTCTTTACTTTTACATATTAAAACCCCATACATTGTTATAATTTTTTCTTTAGCTTATCTTTTAAAGAGTTTTTGACTTTTAAAAAATTTAAGAAAATAAAGAAAGTAGCCTTTATATTTGCCGTTTCTCCAAGGCCCAGAGGACTGTGAGACCACAGACAATGAGGCTGCATGATGGTGGGACCCCTGTGATTATTAGGAAACTGAGATCCTGACAACTGTGAAACTGCAAGTCTGTGGAATCTTTCTGCCTCTACTCCAAGCCTCTGCTTAGTCATCTAAATTCCCCTGTAAGCAACCTGGCAGAGAGGATTCTCTTTTCATTTTGGGCTCCTCCAGATTCAGTCTGCCACGGCAGCCCACAGATTCATCAAAAAGTCTGGTTTGTTTCTTCTTATCTAAGCAAAGACTGTCCTTGCTGATAAGTTTGCTCCTCAGCCCACCTGCCCCCAACTTCAGCAACTGACCAAAGTGTGAATGCGTCCTATATTTTTCATTTACTTAGAAAGGTTTGTCTTTCCAGAGTTTAGCTCTTTTGGATTTCTTTGCATCCACAGTTCTTTGATGGTATTAAAGAAAGTATGTGTTTTTTATTTTTTTACTGCTGAGCTGATGATTTCTTGTTATTTCCTAGGGAGCTAAAGTCTTTCATTTCTTTCTATATCCCAGGCAAAAGTGGAAGCCTCTAGAACTTTTTCTTTCTTTCTTTTTCTTTCTTTCTTTCTTTTTTTTTCTTTCTTTCTTTCTTCCTTCCTTCCTTCCCTCCTTCCCTCCTTTCTTTCTTTCTTTCTTTCTTTCTTGTTTCCTTCCTTCCTTCCTTCCTTCCTTCCTTCCTTCCCTCCTTCCCTCCTTTCTTTCTTTCTTTCTTTCTTTCTTTCTTTCTTGTTTCCTTCCTTCCTTCCTTCCTTCCCTTCCTTCTTTCTTCTGTTCTTTCCCTTCTTCCTTCCTTCCTTCTTTCCTCTCTCTCTTTATTTTTCTCTCTCCCTCTTTCTCTCTCTCTTTCTTTCTTTCCTTCTTAATATATGAAATAGATTTCTCTCTCACCCATCTTTCCACCATCCAAGGTCTACCAGTCCTCAAAAGCTCAGTTTAAGTTTCTCCCCTCTGTGAAACTCTTTCCCAAATATACACACACATGTCCAACTCAGAGAACCTTCTCCCTCTTCTGACAGGATCCTATTTGCCAACTCCATTACTCCTTTGGTATTTACATAGACTGCTTTCCGTGGTTATATTTTCTTTAACATACACAGTACATGTACATTAAGAGTTTCTGTTCCACTTCTTTGAATGTGGGAACCATGTTTTTTAAATTTGTTTGTTGTTGTTGTTTTATATTTTTAAATTCATTGCAGCTCAAGAGCAAGCACAGTGACCATGAGTTTGTTTGAAGATAACAGTGAACATAGCGATGACAACAATTCTCTTGTTTAAAATGGTAGGAAATAAGAGATGTGAGGTATTTTTTTCCCACATAATAAATCTTCTTTGGTACAATAAAAGATGTAATGAAGCACTCTCCAAATACACATATACTTACTGTGTATACATTATTATAACATAAACATGAGTATCTATAAACATAAAGTCAGGATGTCTGACTCTGCCAAACATAAATATCCTCAAACGTATTGATAACCTTATGTGCTATGACCATTTATTTTATTCTGTGTTGGGTACAAGTGTTTAATATAGGCTTTAAGAATTTATAGATTATGATAAACAAAAACATAGAATTATAGCGAAAGAACTGAATTCAATTCAGAAGACTTAATCGTCACTATAAGATACACTAAAGAAATTTTCAGCCATGGAAACATTTTTTTTTTTAATTTCAAAACATGATTCAATGTGTCTATCCCTGAGAGCAAATTTCTACTTCTCAGATGCCCCTCCTGGAATCCAGCACAATTGGAATCATTCTTCTTCCACTTCGGAAGTATTATGAAAATATTGTTTATGAGAATGGATATTCATGAATGATGGCCATAAACTGGAACACAATTTACATTTCTAAAATATATAATTACGTAGACATTAATTGAGAAATGTAAAGTATAATTTGGGTAGAGAGATCATATTTTATAGAGAAAAATTATCTACAAATACTATGTAAAAATTATTTAGCACAACAGAAGGGGCAGAATACAGAGAAAACAGCTCAACTGGACCAGTGGGCAAGGGTCATGGCATAGGATTCGAACCCTGGCTAAGTTTTTGACAGTCAGCGTTTATAATCCAGGTTTCTAGTGGTCACTTTTTATGCCATGAATAAAATTTTGAATAAATCACCTTAAGGTGGAGAAGCTTCATAACTCACTTTTATTTCAAAGATTCGCCAGGTTCTACTTTTTGCTCATTTTCCCTGTACTCTAGAGTTTTTCTGGATCTCTTTGGTTCCCTCTAAGAATATCCTACTTCATCATTCTCCCTCTCCCACCTTTCTCTCTTTGGTTCTCTAGGGCCAAAAAGAGCGGAAAAGGGGCTGGCCCCGTGGCCGAGTGGTTAAGTTCGCGCGCTCTGCTGCAGGCGGCCCAGTGTTTCGTTGGTTCGAATCCTGGGCGCGGACATGGCACTGCTCATCAAACCACGATGAGGCAGCGTCCCACATGCCACAACTAGAAGGACCCACAACGAACAATATACAACTATGTACCGGGGGGCTTTGGGGAGAAAAAGGAAAAAATAAAAAAATCTTAAAAAAAAAAAATCTTTAAAAAAAAAAAAAGAGCGGAAAAAAGTAAGACTAATAAAGAACTTAAAGAAGCCAAATTTGTTGGTTAAATCTTGGGCTTAAAAAGTTTTCTTCTAAAATAAGTTGAAGAACTTTAATTCAGGTTTTGAAAATCAAACCCAAGAAATTCACTCACTGCACTGGAAGTATACAAAAGTAATAGTTTTCATATTTGTCTTCCCTATTATATTGTGTAGTATTACATAAGGATATGAGGAATATCTTACTCATAATTACGTCTCCAGCATCTCACCAAGGTCATGGGTAAATACTGGCTCAATTAACTAAAAAGAGGGCAGGAGGGAGTCAAGGATTCTTTAATTCACTGATAAATTAACAAACTTGGACGTTAAATTTGCTTTAGTCTGAATCCTAGAGCAAAAAAAATACATATTTTAATTCAAACCATTTCATGATTTTTTTTAAGCCTATCACTTGTCCTCTCACCAACACTTTCAGATCTTGGTTGAATCTCTCACTGATTTAACTTGGCTCACATGTGAATTATCCTGTACTCTTTAGGTACAAATCTTTAGGTTGAATATTGACTGTCATTTTTGTATACCATTGTCTCCAGGAATTTTCTCCTTAAATGCTGCCAGTCATTGCTTCCCCACATGTTCCCTCCTGTTAGGAAATCCATCTTTATCCATAGACCTTCCTGGAGGAGTGGTGCTACTCATCCAGGTTTATTCTAGGAAACAGAAGCCTCACCAAATGGATTAAAGGATAACAGAAATGTCTAAAAGTAAAGTAGGCTTTAAGGTTGGTTAGTTAGAACTCTCAGTCATGTCACTAAGGACGGTTTCCTCTTACCTTTCTGCTCTGATTTATGTAGAATCAGTTTCATCTGTGATTTCAAGATGGCATTCAACAGTGCTAGGAGAAACATACTTCCTCTTCTACAATGGGAAAGAGAGAGAGAAACCTGGATTTGAGTTGATTCAAGACCAAGAGAGAGGTTAAGAAGTAGGCACAGTGAGTATGGACAAATCTTTTGCATTTTTTTGCTATGAAGGAAGCGGAGACATGAAGTGATAATTGGAAGGAGATGTGGAGTCAAGGGGGAATAAGGGAGTGAGGTGGATATTATAATTACGATGATGACAATGATGAGTATTCCAGAGAGTTGGGCCGAAAATAACTTGTTTGAGCATGTTTTCTTATGTTTATTCACCATTTGTATCCCTTCTTCTGTGAATGATTTGTTCTTTGCCTAATTTTTTGGCTCAGTTGTCTTCATACATTCTTGATTAAGTCTTTTTTTCCTATACATATTGCAAATATTTCCCTCAAATTGTCAATTATTTTTAAATTGGCCTCTTACTATAGAAGAGGTTGAAGGACGAAATCAAATGGTTAATCTCTGAGAAGATTCAAATCTGGTATAGAATCAATAATCTTTTTAAAACATTATGATACTAAAACTTAGCGCAACATGTAATTCAGAAAACCACTGTAATAATGTCTTATGTCTTGCAACACTAAAATATTTGTTAAGAGTATAGTTAGAGCTAGGCAGTGCACTTAAAAGCTGCATACATTATCTTATCTAATCCTCACAGTCCTATGAATTAAATATTATGATCTCAATTTCAAAGATGAAGAAAACGAGCTTCAGAGAGTTTAAGTACATCACCCAAGGTCACACATTAATAAAAAGAAAGAATCCAGATTTGAACCCTGGTCTGACTCCAAACCTCTATTCTAACTCCTGAAGTATAACTCCAAAATCAGTGATCATTAGAATTTAAACTGACGTTGAAGGCCTGTTATCACACCTACCTTAAGGAACAGTATAGTATGGTTGTTAAGTGTAGAGCTGAATTCTGGCGATGCCATTTATTAACAATTTTCTGGGCTTTATTTTTCTTATCTGTAGGATAGGAAGAATATCATCAGTCTCATAGGATAGTTGTTGGGATACATATGCTGATATATATAAAGCAGCGCCTGGCATGCAGTAAATACTCAATAACTATCACTTATTATTATTATTATCGTTACTATTATTATTATTGCTCTGCTCCCCTCATCTCTTTGTCAATGGGTCCAACAAGTGATTACCTAGTACTGAGATGAACATCTCCTGCTAAAGTGAACTCATTACCTCCAATAGAGGTCCATTCTGTCTCTGGAAAGTTCTAATTATTAGAATGTTCTTCCTGATGGTACACCGAAGTTGCCCTTCTCAAAATTATTTTTAACAAGACTTTCTAGGATGGCATACAGTAGACAACCAACCTTTGGAAGATCGTTAGTATGTCTCTGTAGGCTGTTTTCTAGCCAAGAAAAAGATCATGATGGTTATTTTCTCTGTGCTCAAGCTCATCAATGCCCCTTTTAATTTCTGAACAGAACCCTCTTCTACAGGTGTGAGTAGAACAGCCCGCAGGTAAGCAGGATTATACCCCTCCCTGCTCTAGCTCATTCATTATGCAGCCATGTCCACTTTGCTTATTTATGCAGCCGTCGTATACAACTGACAAATATGCTACTTATAAGTCAAATCACGCTGTCCTTGTGCAACTGAGGTTTTGGACCCAAATGTAGAATTTATATTTGACTGACAAACTCAAGTACCTGGAGTAAGTGGCTATTTCCAAGATATTGTGGTATCTTTGTTCTTACGGTACAATCAATTTCTCAAATATAATCAAAGTCAAATGTTTAAATTGGCATTTAATAATGAAAACTATGGAACTATTCTTTAATAGCTTTTTTAAAGAGTTTTAATTAATTCCATTTAATTCTTTAGGATCATCAACTGTTCGCATACTACAATATGAAGCTGCAGCATCCTTTGATTACGTCTACATATGCTGTGTTCCAGGAAACAGCTTGATTACATTTCTTATTTCTTCCTATTAGCTCAATAGATAATCATAAACTGTCCTTCCTCGTCCAACCATTCCTCCAGTGCCTTATACTTGCCATTAATTCATTCCACTTGTTCTTGCTACGTGAGGAGTTGCTCCATTTCTCCTTCTGATTTTCTTCTTTCCCTCCTTCCTTCCTACCTGCATTCCTTCTTTCTTTTTTTCTCTAAGTCTTGGTTTAAAAATGAGGACAGGAGCCTTTTTTGTTATATGAGGCAATAAGCATCTGAGAAAGGAAAATGCAGAGGAGGGTGCTGGAGCATGACATTGTAGATGATTCAACCCAAGCCATCACCCACTGTATGAATAGTAAAAACTCACCCTCCTAGCATCAGTTAATAAATTGTATCTTCTATGTATTAACAAGCCAGTAGTCTGTCATACATCCCTACATTTTATCATCATTATTTTTTAGTATTCGCATCCTACTCCTCTCTTATCAAAAATACTTTTGGATGCTTACAGTAAAAGAATAATGCAACCAGACTGAACCATTATCATGGAATAAATATAAAATCAAGTAATGGAGAAGGCAGTGTTTCAAAGATATCTGTACAACTGCATTAGCAACTCCAATGGCTGTGTTTTCTTCTTTTTCAAATACTTCCATTTATACTACTAGAGTTCCCACTCTGTGATCAGCAAATTTTCCTCTATCTTCTACTCTTCAGAAAATTTTCTCCCTTCCTTGACTTTACTCAGGGGTTCTCTCTGGAGGGTTCACTTTATACTTATGGGACAGCTTGGAAAAAAGTTGATATCTTGTAGTCAACATCAATCCAATTAAATCAGAATTTGTAGAAAGGGGCTGGTCCTGAAGGACACTGCTCCCCTCTGAAGACCCCAAAATTAGAGGATGATTTTTAGTTATTTACAAATTCTTCAGTGTCAGAATTGTGGTCACTAGTCTTCATCCCCAAAACCTCTTTTGACCATAATTTCCCCATGCTCTTATAAAAACTCTCACCTTGACTCTCTACCCTCTCCACTTTTATCTACAGATGTCCTCATCGTGTCCTCTAATTCACTAAAGATTTTCGAATCTGGCTCATATTTTCACTTTCCATCCCTACTCTTATTATCATTCTAAAAAATATGGTGTGGTGAAGACAAGAACAGGTTCTAGAACCTGGGTTTGAGTCTGAGCTCTGCCGTTACTAATCTTGCTGCTGTGGGAAGATTTAAACCCTCTTTGCCATAAAATGGAGATGGTACTAGGAGTGATAGCACTCAGTGTTAGGATTAAATGAGTCCCTGTGTTTATTTTTGTGGGTTATTCGCCCCATATTGTGCTTTGCTTGGCCTATTGCCATAAACCTCTTATTGTCATCCTAACTGAATTCTTACCCCTCCTTTAATCAATTATCCTTCAGTTATCTTTCACAAATGTAACTCTAGTCATATGACTTCCTTCCTAAAAACCTCCTCTACTTTTCTATTGCCTATAAGATAGAATATAGCTTCATATGGGCAGCATATGAACCATTCACCAAGCTAGTTTCCAACAAATCTTCCAGTTGTGTCTTCATTCACTTACCACCTTCCCCCTTCCCTTCTTTCTCACTCTGCTCATGGATATCATGGATCTCATAGATAATAGTTGTATATTTTTATTCACTATACCATGATCTAATTTTACAAATATGTGGGCATGTTTCCTTGGATAAGTTTGCAAGCTCTCTAAGTTTTAATATCTCCAGTTATAAAATTGAAATAATAATAATACTTACCTTGAGGGATTCTGTGAGCATAGACATATTTATAGATTCATACATATTTACATACATACATACATACATATTTACAGATCCACATACAGCCAGACGTGTTTACAGAAGACACATAGTCATAATAGGGGCTTTAAAAAATAGCAGTAGCTGATATTAATTTTGTCATTAAAATTGTTGCTGTTATTATTATTATTACTATCATCCTTGTTGTATCTCCCCTGTGAAGCTTGTCCTGTAACCCCTTCTACTTACTCTCTGGGTCCCCCCAACCCTTCACATCTATGGCTATGATGACAATTTTACCCTTGGTGGTGATTGCTGGCTGATAGAACTTGCTGTCCCACTAATATGTGGTCATTTTGAGGGCACATCCAATCCAGGATCTGTTGCCTGGAAAGACAACATTCCCTTGATCAGACTCAGAGAGCGCTCACTTCCAAGAATTTTATAGACCTCAAAGTCATCAGGAAGAGTGTGAACTACCTGGCACTGGGGAACCTGAGGCTGACAGACTCTGCTGTGGCTCAGCTTTCTGTAAAAACAAGCAAACTGCCTCCTGAAAAGGTCGATGCCCCCTCTCTGTGCAGCCCTCCCTCTGCATGCAACCTTCCTCAATTTTGCCATATCCTGAGCTGTCTTTTTTCTGAGCTCCTCCAAGTCGTGTTCTTTCTTATTAAAAACATCTCTCCCCACTCCTCTTTATCTATCTCTCTCTTTTTTTTTTCTCTTCTCTTTTCCTCCTATACTCCTCCCACCCCTCACTCCTTCTGTCAGTCCTGACCTTTTCTATACTATCATTTCAACACTCAGGTCATCCCATCTTGGCCCCATCCTCCATTGGTGGTCTGGTCACTTCCGTCTTCTCATTCACCATCTCTTGCTAACAATGGTCCAGCAAGGAAGATCTTATTTAGAACCTATTTGTTAGAAAAAGGGGTGAAAAAGAAAGTACAGAATTTTTCCTGGCACATCATAATTATGGCAAATTATTTCTGTTAATGAGCGTGTAGAGGAAAGAGAAGTGATGTTAGGTCAGGAAAGCTAATGTCCATTCAGCCCTGAGAGATGAGGCTTCCCAAGGTGTGCAGCAAAGGCTTTATCAGCTGGTTCCATCAGACACAGGAAAGGGCAATTTCTCTTTCGTAGCATTAACCCTCAACTGGAGTTAGTGCAGGGAAGGCCTCGCTCTTCACAAACACTCCAGGATAAGGTGATAAGAAGATTACAAGTAAAGCCTCTCTTTAGCTATTCCACATCTCCTGTCAGACAGAGCAAGTTAAATTACAGCACAGGCCTCACATGCATTGATCATCCACTCAACTTGTACTACCCAGGGTTTTAAAGATCTGTGCCAGGGATAAGTGAAGTCGTCTCAGCAAAGTTTATTTTAGCAAGAAGGGTTCACTAAGTTCAAAGAGGTGAGGTTCTGGGAGAGAGCCCTAACTCCTGGGTGCTCAGCTCGATTTATGCATAATCTTCATCAGTGAATACTTCCTTATAGCCCCCGAGAGGTGTTGAGAGAACACACAGTTGATGGCATAGCCCTCTTCAATGACTCACATGTGTCTCTGTGAGCCCCTGGCTTCTCCCTACTTAAAAAGCAGGTTCAAAACTCAGAGAACATTGCTAAAGATGGCATTTACCCTATTTAGAGATGCTCTGTGAGTGGTCAAAAATGAACATTTATGTGCCCCATTCTGATTTTAGGTACCCTATTCTGATTTATGAATAAGATATAAAGTTTTTTTTTTGTTTGGACAAGATGCTTTCTTGTAATAAGCTTCAGTTAGCCTTGTTCGGCCTACAAGACATACTATGCAGTTTAACAAAGATATACAATTCTTTGAACGGTTTTGATAGTCAAGTCTTCATAAGAATAAGATAGGCCATTTTGAGGCTACAACAGAAAAAAAGATCAATCATTAGAAACACTTAAAAATTCTGTGCATGACACTCTTCTTTATTAAAAAGACCCATTGTAAATTGGAAAGTTCCGAAGTCTTTGTGGTGAGAGAGAATGAATTATAATGACATCACTGGGTCGTGAACTAGGCCCACTGGCTACTTTCCAGAATGAAATTGACTAGGAGAGATCAGATGAGCCCATTCGTAGCACAAGACATCTGGGAGGCAGCCAGGGAATCGAGGTTCAAGCCCCCTATTTAGGACGACTTCCTCTTCCTCTTCATCATCAAATATAATCGTGATTTCCCAGGCAAGCCCTCTAGCCTAACAAAGCATTTCAATTCATATTCTAAAGAACACCCCAAAAGTTCTTTGTACTCATTCCTCAGTGAAAGACCTCATGAAAAATATTAACATGTCAACATCTGGCTGACACCTTTGCTACATTTTCATCATGTTGCTGATGGGAAGCATTTTGCCTTCAAATAAGCATAATTTGCCCGTCTTTTCCATCTCCTTTTTTTGTCTCTGTCCCGGCGTAATAAATGGTGTCTCAAGCCCAAGAGAAACTCATTTCTGTTAACAGATCATTTGTAAACCTTTAAGGGCAGCTAGTGAGAAAGGGGCATTTTTTCCCTCTGTCTTAACTATCCTGGTTGTCTTTCTAAATGCAAAATGACACCTCATTCAAAGCTTTCTGGTGTCATCTTAATCTCCCTTATTTTACACTTTCTACCTTTTTGATATTGCTACAGACTGCATGGCGGGTTTTTACCTAATACTGTAATACCTATTATCTGAGGCATTTAGGTATATAGGCTCTTGCCAGCTAAGAATAATGCAGATCAATTGGATGTCAGCAGCCCAATAAAGTCAGATAGTATATATTTTTTTTCAGGGTAGAAAAAAGATGTCTGCCCACCTGACCTTACAGCCAGCACATTTCAATATTAATATATTTTATGCATGCATGTGATAACGTTTTACGTTTCTTATGGATCTGCAGGGAAGTCTCACTTTTCTCTGCGGAGGATTATTACCTATTCTGAGGGGGCTATGATTATAGATTCTTACTAAGACAAGAATAATTGACCATAAAAAACCTTTTATATTCCCACAATTATTTTTGCATTGACTAAAAGTGTCAAGAAAATCTGATTTTATTAGCCGGCCCCTAATTTTGACTCCATTTAATTTTTTCTCTAGCTTTTTCCCCCAATATGTTTTTAGTCTGAGATAGTTGGCAATTGGACAAAAGAACAATTTGTTACAGAACCTTTACTGAATGGAAGTTCTATAATCCAAGCATTGCATCAAGTATCAAATAAAATAAAAATGTATGAGATCAGCAAAGGGGCCATGCTCCAAGGTAAGGAACTGATCTAGGGCCTAGGAAAAAAGAAGTTTAAATCAAAATTTGACTGCTCAGCTAAGAAGTAAGTCTGAAGAACAGAAGGTCATGTGCAGCTGTGACCCCACATTCCCCTTCACCCACCAAGAGGTCAGATCCTGTCAGCACTGAGCCTACTTCCAGTAAAGCGCAAGCAGCAGAGTTGTGCTTATTAACAAGTAGTGTGGGCAACTCTAAAGGATGTTTGAGGAGAAGAAGCAGGAAATGCATTGGCTCATTAGGAAGCAGGGGATGCGGTGGACAGGAGAAGTAGTAGTGACATGATACCCAT